ATCGATCATGTCTTCCCTCATTCTTCGCCTTACAAGTAAATGTAATTTAAGGGTCTTCAATCTTTCTTCATACCGAAGTTTTCTGATGTTATGTATTAATTTTGTCATTCGAGCTGAGCTGCGTAATCTTGATATAAATCCCAGTAATCTACTTGCCTTATTCCGTACGCTTAGGCATTGATTGCTGCTTACCATAACCCACCATTTTGCTGAGTCTTGCTGACGTCATGGAAAATTCCAGTCTCGGGGGTGGCCGGGGAATATGGCTCAATATAACGCTATTATAGCTTCTACGGCTTATTTATCTATCACAATTGATCTAATATGACATAATAAACAATATAAATAACAAAGAAGTATGGTAAATACTCCAGAATGAATAATATATGGAATATTCCCAGAGCGCTCCATCGGGAATAATAGATTCCCATTCTCAGAGAGGGGCTTACATTCTCTTTCTCTCACCTCCAGGGTCCTTATATTAGAGAAAACGAACATGGTTAACTATGATATACACTCGTAATGCAGTATAAGACTGAGAAAAATGTTATTTTCTCGAAAAAAAAAAAAAAAAGGTGGTCCGGCTGTTTCGCGGATTATCTCGGAAGTAAGTTATTCACATATATGAGCACGTAACTTCGTTAATAATAGCATGAATGTAATGAAATTCACAGAGAACATAAAGGAAAGATTGTTTTACAATCCATGGATCGCTTTTTGAGATATCATAATTTGTTTTTGATTTTTGTGAGGGCAAAAGTCAGATATTTGGCTGAAAGTCAAAAAACATACAAAATTTATTTTTTTTAAGAATGAAGAAAGGATAAATTACAGAACGGCAATCCATTAGAAATACAGTTTAGCATTGTTTTATGCGTAGATAATGCCAAAACAACTTCTCCAAGTCCCACTTCGACGGCACCTTGCAATATGTATGATTATTAGTAAATAATTTTTTTCTCAGTTGTTTTTTGAGCTATCTTATTGAAACTTGGTCACATTACTATTGAAAGGTGCTTCTTTACGTACAAAAAAAATGAAAGAAATCGAACGAAAAATAAAAAAAAAAAAAAATTACCCTTCAATGACCCCTTAATCTCTCTCTCACGTTTTAATTGTTCATGGCTTCACTTCTCTCACCTTCACTATATTGACAGAAATATTCGCAAACACAAGAAAAAAAAACTAGGAAAAGAAAATAATATCTTCATACTGGGAGAGTCACGCTCTCGACAAAATGGATTGTTGGTGTTGATGTTACAACTCTGTCTTAATGTCTTCAGTGCTACTGTTTTGTGTAATATTCTCTTGCTCTACTCTTTTGTGGTACTTGCGTTCGGCTATACCATTTTATTGTATGCTATTATACTTTTCATGTGTGTTACAGTATTATAATAGCATAATAGCATACAATAAAATGGTATATCTGAGCACAAGTACCACACAAGAGTAGAGCAAGAGAATATTACACAAAGCAGTAGTATTGAGGACATTAAGACAGAGTTCTACTGGCCAGGTTGTAACATCAACACCAACAATCCATTTTGTTGAGAGGGTGACTCTCCCAGTATGAAGTTATTATTTTCTTTTCCTAGTTTTTTTTGTGTTTGCGAATATTTCTGTCAATATAGTGAAGGTGAGAGAAGTGAAGCCATGTTACTGTATAGTTCTTCTGTGTTACTGTACTTTATTGTTTTATGTTGTTCTATTGTTATTATGAGTTAATTTTCTTGTGTTATTGTACTGTTCTCCTGTGTTAATACAGTGTTTTATGTGTTAGTATGAAGTTCTTGCATATTACAGTAGCAATATTCTCTGTGTTACTATATTTAAGTAGCTGTACTGTTCTTGCGTGTTGTCGTAGCGTTTTTCTTCATTACTTTACTGTTCCTCTATGTTGACATGTTTACTGTGTTGTTGAGGTGAGGTAAAGGTCCCAGTAAATCTCAAAGTAATAAAGTCGACCATCATGGTAGTCTCAATCTATTGAGAAAAAAGATTTCGACAGTCAGGCGTGCAACCTGGCTGGCTAATTTGTGTTATTGTTACTGTCTCCATTACTGCTGTATTTTGCGATGATATCTTGCTGTAATATACATTAGCAACCCTAGCAAATATATATATTAGACACAGACTCTCTCTCTCTCTCTCTCTCTCTCTCTCTCTCTCTCTCTCTCTCACACACACACACACACGCACGCAAATAAGGAGGGAGGCCCAGCGAAAGTACGAAAACAGCATAGCATCGAAAGTCAAGTTTGACCCGAAACTGCTGTATACCCACATTAGGAGAAACACACCAGTCAAAGACCAGGTAATCAAGCTGATGAAAGGAGGTGTGGAATTCACAAGAAACGATCGAGAGGTATGTGAGGAGCTCAACACGAGATTTTAGAAAGTATTTACAGTAAATACAGGAAGGACTCTGGGAAGACATAACAGGGGGGAACATCAACAAGGGTTATATCAACAAGTGTTGGATGAAATACACACGACTGAGGAGCAGGTGAAGAAGCTGCTAAGTAGCCTTGATACCTCAAAGGCGGTGGGACCGGTCATCTCTCCGTGGGTCCTTAGAGAGGGAGCAGAGACACTGTGTGTGCCACTAACCACAATTTTCAACTTATCCCTTGAAACTGGACAACTACCTGAGGTATGGAAGACGTTAAATATGGTCCCATTTTTAAGAAAGAAGATGGAAACGGGGCACTAAACTATTGATCAGTGTCACTGACTTGTATAGCATGCAAAGTCATGGAGAAGATTATCAGGAGGAGAGTGTTGGAGCACCTGGAACGGAACATTATAAACGACAACCATCACAGATTCATGGAAGGCAAATCCTGTGTCACAAACCTTCTGGAGTTTCATGACAAAGTAAGAGAAGTAAGACACGAGAGAGAGGAGTGGGTTGATTACAATTTCTTGGGCTGCAAGAAGGCCTTCGACACAGTTCCTCACAAGAGATTAGTGCAGAAGCTGGAGAATCAGGCACGTATAACAGGAAGGGCACTGCAATAGATCAGAGAATACCTGACAGGGAGGCAACAACGAGTCATGGTACGTGAAGTATCACAGTGGGCGCCTGTGACGAGCGGGGTCCCACAGGGTCAGTTCTAGGACCAGTGCTATTTTTGATATATGTGAATGACATGATGGAAGGGATAGACTCTGAAGTGTCCCTGTTCGCAGATGATGTGAAGTTAATGAGAAGAATTAAACCGGATGAGGATCATGCAGGAGTACAAAGAGACCCGGACAGACTGGACACGTGGTCCAGAAAGTGGCTTATCGATTTCAAGCCAGCCAAATGTAAAGTCATGAAGATTGGGGAAGGGCAAAGGAGACGGCAGAGTATAGGCTAGGTGGACAAAGACTGCAAACCTCACTCAAGGAGAAAGATCTTGGGGTGGCTTAAACGCAGTGCACGTCTCCAGAGGCACACATCATCCAGATAACTCCTGCAGCATATGGACGCCTGGCAAACCTGAGAATAGCGTTCCTGTTACAAAAAACGCGATTTCTAAAAAGCTTAGAGATCTCCAGTGAATACTAGAAAGGACTGCCCTTCTAGCATCCAGCCTGTTACTGGGTTTTCGTAACAATTAGTCAGTATCCTTGTCCAATTATCCATTAGAATTCAATAAGAATTAATAGTGCTTCAGGATTACAACTGGTAGGCTACTAACTAGAGAAATTAAAATTTAATAAATTTATTAATAACGTCTAGAGGTATAAGATCAAAGTAAATTAAATTAATAATAATCAAAATAATAATAATCACTTCTTTCGTGTACAGTAGTATTGTGCTGAAAGCACATATCGCATATTTATGTGTTAAGTACCATCTGGTACATTAATATTTAATAATACAATATACAAATAAGTTTATGTGTATGTGTGTAAGTGCTCTAAGTAGTTCACTATGTCTCACGACTCGACTAGACTTAAACAAGTGACTGACAAAGTCCTCACAAACTAACTTCTTGACCAACTGGCAATCAGAACAGTCTGCTTGAACAATAAAAAGAATGCTAAGCCCAATAGCAATATAACAAGCAACTGCGACACAATCAGGATCAAGGAGATAATATAAAGACACTAAGTAGGGACCATCTGCAGATCCTCCACCAAAGTCACCAAACTCCCATACTACTGAATCTAAGTTCAGCATAAGAAAATCCCCGACTGTGACAGTACACAGATACCAGTACAAATTAGGTCAGAAGCTACAGCTCAGGACCTGAGTTGCTCAGAGTGTCTATGCGACACACAACCTCAGTACAACGTCGAAAATAACTAAGTCTATACAATGTTCTGTGAATAGAGTCTCCAGAACCAACAACAATAATAAGACAGAGACGATCTTCCAACAAGGGCCAATAAGGGAAATTTAGGCACGTCTTGTCTAGAATACGTCCAACCACCAAGCGAGTCTAGACCAGACTGAATACTTCAGGGTACAGGCAGCCTGAATTTTTTTTTTCCTTTGCTCGATTTCGTTGATTTTTTTACCAGAGACTTTAGGCATATTGAGCCTCATGTGGTGAAAGTTGCATCAAGATCGTCCAATAAATAAAGTTATAAAAAATAAAAATGTGAAAAATTGGACATGGCAACACTTATAGCAACGCAAGTCAATATTGGCAATCTCGAAATCATTGTTGATAATCACAAATGATAAAGTAATGCCAAATTGACCATCTAATGGATATAAATAATGCAATAACATGTTTTATGGTACCCAAAAAAATATTATGTCTTGACTTTATTTAATTTTTTTTTTTGCACTTTACATCAATTTATGCAAAATTGAAGGATTATTACCCAAGACAACTCCATTACAAAGTCAAACAGGCTCCCCTGAATAACTTGTAAAATTCAGAATGATCGGTTCATAAATAATGGTTTTACCTCAGAAAAATACAAATAAATGCACTTTTGAAAAAAATCAACAAATACATTGAACATTACTATACAGTGGGTAAAAATACTCATAGTGCCTTTATACGTTTATTGAGAGTAGAACTGGTTATATAGACATTATTCCTGAAGTTCCATGAAGATCCCTTTGTCCTGAAGTTCTCTGGTGGCCGGCCAATCATAAAAATCCATCCCAATCAATCTGAAAAGAAAGAAATGAATTCTCAAAATCCTATTCCCAGATATTATTCCCAGTGATTATGTACAGATACATGTAATTGCACCCATATATGATATTTATACACATACCAATATAAAAATATATACCAAAAAAAAAAACACTAATAATTACGTACCTATGACTGGATGTAGGTGGACACATGATTATCTAATGTCCTCCAGGCAGCAGTGGAGGTAGTAGTTGTGGTAGTAGCAGCAGTGGAGGTAGTAGTTGTGGTAGTAGCAGCAGTGGAGGTAGTAGTTGTGGTAGTAGCAGCCGTGGTGGAGGTAGTAGTTGTGGTAGTAGCAGCAGTGGAGGTAGTAGTTGTGGTAGTAGCAGCAGTGGAGGTAGTAGTTGTGGTAGTAGCAGCCGTGGTGGAGGTGGGCATATTTGCGGGGCTCCTATATTTTGTCTAACTTGTTTCTGAACATGAAATATCCAATAGTTCAGTAGCAGTGAACAAGGACAGGTGTTGAGAGGAGGGTGGTGGTACTAGCATCGTGGCGGCGTCACCACGTGGTGGTACTAGCATCGTGGCGGCGTCACCACGTGGTGGTACTAGCATCGTGGCGGCGTCACCACGTGGTGGTACTAGCATCGTGGCGGCGTCACCACGTGGTGGTACTAGCATCGTGGCGGCGTCACCACGTGGTGGTACTAGCATCGTGGCGGCGTCACCAACCACAGCAGCGCTGCTGCTCACTTTGCTTGTATAGACCTTATCATTGCTTCTATGTGCCTTTTCCTCTTGTGGCTAATGTTCTTGGCAAACTGTTTCTTCTTTGCAGGCATTGTGTACCAAAAATGTATACAATGAAAGGCAAAAAGTAACGTCCCAAGGGTAGTCAGCTGTCAGACAAAGTGACACACCCACTCTCTCTTCAGACTTCCAGTCGGCACTGACTTGATATGGTGTGAGCAGCTCCTTCTCACAGCTAACCTGATGGTTGCCAGTTACTATTTAGAAGATCTAGCTAAAAAATACACCAAAAAAAAGGAAAAAAAATACCTGTGATACTGTTTTATGAAGCGAGTCGCGCTGGAGCACGTGGTATTGTTATGACGTTAGCTGGGCCGCGCTGATGACGTAGTTACCATTGTTATAATTACGATAGCTTTATATGTAATTATCGTACAGAGACACGGCGCACACCAAAATGTTGCCAGATCTTTGCTCTATTTTTCGGTAAGATTAACTCATTTTTCATATTTTTTCGATTTTTTTTTGGTGAATTTAGGCTCAGACTCGGCGGCCTGCGACCTTCAGGCAAGGTGTGATCACCACCCCTCGATCACGTGATAGCTCCGTGGACGGTTTGCTGCTCAGCAACAGAGAAATCGGCAGAGTAACGAGCAATGAGCGATAATTACAGTAGTTAGACAATCAAGACGAACTATATAGTAGCACATAATATTATATGAATGTTACATCCTACCTAACAACATAACTAAGTCAAATAATAATATAAGCAATATATTTACGATTTAGCTATTATCGCAAATATAAGCAATATAAAATTATATGAAAAGGTAATATACATTATATACATATACGTAATATACATCATATACATTGTGACCCATTCAGGGGTTGCAACAGTTCGGGTACCTTAATAAGAAATCGTTGAATACACTGTACACTGTACGTCAGTCCCATACTGGAGTATGCAGCACCAGTTTGGAACCCACACCTGGTCAAGCACGTCAAGAAATTAGAGAAAGTACAAAGGTTTCCAACAAGGCTGGTTCCAGAGCTCAGGGGGATGTCCTACGATGAAAGGTTGAGGGAAATCGGACTGACGACACTGGAGGACAGAAGGGCTAGGGGAGACATGATAATGACATACAAGATACTGCGTGGAATAGATAAGGTGGACAGAGAAAGGATGTTCCGGAGAGGGGACACAGAAACAAGGGGTCACAATTGAAAGCTGAAGACTCAGACGAGTCACAGGGATGTTAGGAAGTATTTCTTCAGTCATAGAGTCGTCAGGAAGTGGAGTAGCCTTTTAAGTGACGTAGTGGAGGCTGGAACCATACATAGCTTTAAGACGAGGTGTAACAAAGCTCAGGAAGCACAGAGAGAGAGAGAGAGAGAGAGAGAGAGGCCCTAGTAGCGATCAGTGAAGAGGCGGGGCTGAATCTCGACCCCTGCAACCACAATTTGGTGAGCACATAGGGAGTGAACCTAGTAGCGACAAGCAAAGAGGTGGGGCTAGGAGCTGTAACTCGACCCCTGCAACCACACACACATACACACGTATATACACACAAAAACATGCAATAAGATCACAGTAAACATCTCTAGATAATATGAGAAATCACAAAAGCCCTTGAAATTTCACTATTTTTCGCAGTTGTTGTTCTGCACACAAACATATATACTTGCATTACATATGCATACGTTTATGAATACATAAACATATGTACTCATACACAGGTACATACATAAGTATACCAGCTTACTCCTGACCACATTCATAATTCTATGTCTTCATATGTTACAATGGTAACAGTAACAATAACAACGGCACCAACAATGGTAACAGTAACAATAACAACGGTACCAACAATGGCAACAACAACTTGGTAGTAGTAGTTGTCGTAGTCGTGAAGGTTATGTACATGTCCTCAGAATCAAGATTCCATGATGTTGCAACATCATGGAATCTTGATTCTGAGGACATGTACATAACCTTCACGACTACGACAACTACTACTACAACTAACCCATCTCTTTGGGTAGGACCTACTTCCACTGGGGAATCCCGCCTACCAGTGACTATGCCCTCGTCTGCTACCCGTCCCATTTCCACCTGACGTTAGTATATAAGCGTCAGGCGCCTTGCTTCTGCTTCAGAGTAACCACCAAGCCATTATGAAATGACCAATCAACGTCGAGCCCCTCCCTTATCGCCTGCAGCCACCAATCACCATCAAGAAGCAGAAATCTTCCATCCAGCAAGTTGTAGTCAGCTCCTGCAGAGTTCCTGTTGTCTACATCGTCTTTCATCATCGTCATTCAGGCTTAGCAGTTGGGTTTAGTCCTGACTCTTCTCTCTTCGACTCAAGACATTCCTCTCACCGTCTATTCTTCGCACTGTCCCCACTTGCCCCTCGCCCCTTGTGGGTACTTACCTGTGAGTCCTATCGTATCGTATCTGCTTCAGAATCTCCACGACTACGGTGCTCTTCGCACCAACTCCTAGGTTGAGGGACTGATTACCTCATCTTCTGTACATAGTTCTACTATCTTCAAGTTATGTCCTGGAATTTGTATTGATAAAGCCACTGGATGGCGAAACGTCTACAATAAAGATACCCAAATGTTGCACATGTGTCTTAATTTCATCTTGTCTGTATTGTATACCATTCTTGTACAACAACATTAACAATAACAACGGTGAAAACAACAATGGCAACAACGGTAATAACAACAGTAACAATATCAACGTGTAAAATTAAAACCATAACCACCTCCCCAACAAGCACAACACTAACATTAAAAACCATCATAAACCAGACCCGGCTAACCACCCAGGCTCGCTGCTTGATTCTTCCCGGAACTTCATCCATAGTCTCAAATTAATTTAGAGGTGCGGTATGTGGACCGTCTGTTAGAGATGAAATACAGACGAGTTCTTCATCTGTCCAGAAAGGATGCAGAGTCCACCAGTGTACACTGAGCATGGCGATCCCTCGAAAATGTGCGAGCCTGAGGTGGAAAAGAGAGATTGTTTCACTCCTTTCTATGGTTGCTAGCTTTTTTGTTTTTGCTGCGATCTCTTACAGGGTCGGGAAGTGCGTGGTATGCTGTGTGTTGTGGTGGTGTGTTCTCTGTGTTCTGTGTTGTGGTGTATTGTGGTTGTCTGTTGTGGTATGTTCTGGTGGTGTGTTGTGTTGTGCTGTGTCTTGTGGTGTGTTATATGGTGTGTTGTAGTGGTATATTGCGGTGATGTGTTGTGTGTTGTGGTATGTGCTGTAGTGTGTTGTTGTGTGTAGTGAATTGTTGTGTGTAGTGTGTTGTGGTGTGTAGTGTGTTGTGGTGTGTAGTGTATTGTAGTGCTGTGATGTGTTTGTATTGCAGTATAGTGGTGGTGTGTTGGTACCCCCCCCAACTACCTAACTATCCATGCTATAATTTTTCCTCCACTGATCTCTATGTCTTTTTCAACAATAACATATTCATTTTCAAAAAGCAATTTCTCAATAACCTCCAAGACAATGACCATTTTTCAATTATGACAGAAACTGCTGATGATCTAATTTTCATCTGGCCAGCATGGCGGAAACCTGAATTACTGGATTCTTAAAATCAAAGTTTTGATTAATCTAGGGAACAGTGACTTTCCTGGTGTTCAGGAAGCACGTGATTATAGTTGTGGAAAATGTTTTCAAATGCAACAGAAACCTTTTTTACGATATAAAAGGGAAAAATCAACTAATCACACGTTCCATAATGGAACTTTTGTGTCTGAAACTTCCCAGCAGACTTTCCATGGTGGAATTCCATCAACACGTTTCATCCGAGAACTTTTATGGGGCAAAACTCACACTCAAATGTTCCAGGGTGTGAGTTTTGCATCATAAACGTGAGATTATTTAGTCAGCGATGGTTCTCGTAAAAAGAGTCCATAATTAATAAACTGATTTACCGAAGAATATTTGTCAAAAATATAATATAATTAGAAATATGTATGCATGTAAATATACAGGCAGAGACATAGATACACAATTAGAACAGTTTCTTGGTAGAAACAATACAGATACTGCTAGTCTGAGGATAAAATGTCTACCTGCAGCTCGTCGCACCACACATAACTCCTCCCGCTATTGCTTCTTCCTCTTCACATTATTTAATCTCGTTATTTGCGCTTAACTGAGATTTAATTAGGAACAATCTAGGTTAAACGTTAAATAACGAATATATAATTCCTGGTATTGTTTGCGATCGTTTAGAAACGGACATGTAAACACGGTAGAAAACAGTATGACTATCATGAAGAATGTTACTGACAAAGTCTACGGTCACCACCCGCCACATTTCAGTACTAAGGAGAATTAGGCTCACTGTTATTTTCGTTTCTTGTTCGGTCTTTTTATTTTTTCCTCCTCTCTCTCAGCCTGTCTTCTGATTTTTTTCCTGTTATCGTAGCATAATAATGGTTCAGTAATTACCGATATTTCTTCTGAGGTTCCCTCAAGTTAATACAAATAGGAACTGAGTGTGGAGCTGCATGACTCCCATGAGTTTAGCGCTTCACGTGCAAAATTATAACAAATCTGATG